GTGCTTCCCTCTCTGTTCTTTTGCTACCTGTACTGGAAAATACTCTCAGCTGACCTAAGTCATAATCGGCCTCCTGAGTTCCATTGAGTTTCCACTGCCAAGTTTTCCTTAGCTTCAGAGAAATGTAGGGTGTCTAGAAGTTATCACACATACTGGAATACTTCTGACAGAATGTTCTCTACTGCCATAAATCATGCAGAAACTATCCTGACAAATCTGCATGTGTGGTCCTCTCATGTACACAGTCAGGTATGACGTGAAACCCAGTAAGTTCATCAATACATATTCCAGTGTCCCCTCCTTTGTCTTTACGTTCTCTCTTCTCAGTTTTACTCTCACCTCTAAGCATCTATTTTGATCAATGTAGTTCCTCCCAAAACACTTTGCATGTTAGGCAGGACTTTTCATTTTGGCTTTGAGATTTGTTAGCTGTAACAATTATTTTCTCTGTATCTTGGTTTTCTCATGTATAAAGTAGGGCACAGGTAGTACTAATATTTTGTGGTATTGTAGTAAAAATCAAATGAGGTCATGCAAGTGCGCTACTGAGGAGGAATACGTGTTCTTGAAAAACCCCTAAAACATTTTGCTCTGTATTTTTACAACAGTTAATTAGGTGTTATTTTACATGTTTGGTATTAACACTGTAGACAGCTAGTAGCATGTTGGACTTTTCAGCTCAGGGACCTTATTCATCTTACAAAATTAGCATAAACTTATAATCTTTTGTAAATCAGATATTTACTAAATACCATCTGAATTACTTGAAGATAATCAGACTTTTCACAAGAAATGACTTGAGATCATTTGTATTACATATACCATAATATTCGACAAATGCAAAAGACTCTATAAGCGATCACAGTATTATGGAATGAAAGACAGAAATCTGAAGAAAAATGGTTAAAGATGACAATTAAAACATTTATAAGTGCCATGAACTGAAGGCCTATACAGAGAACTCTTCCTAGCTGTGCAGCCTGGGCATCTTGCTCAGAACCTGATAGCACCCTGCCCAGTGACCCCAAGCAACTGAGAAGCTTTGGGGCTCCATGTGGTAGGAGCTAAAGTCCTCAATGTACTCCATGTAACTGTTCAGCCTTGGTACACCACTTGAAATTTGGTACAGTCCTGCTCAGCCATCTGAAGAGATTCAGAATGCAACATGGGGTGTACTGAAGGTCAGCCCAGCACACTCTCCCCATTTAGGGAAACTCTGAGTGTCATCAAGGATGCAGTGAGGCCTTCCTAATGATCCTCACTCAACTGCAGAAACTCCCCACAGTACAGACAGACATCCTCAACCCAGGAAACAAGTGAGGCTTTGCATTCAGCTGCCCCTAGAGAATACAGGAAAATGACAGTGAAAGAGAAAAATACGATCTCAAACCTACAACCCATCTCAAACACGAATATAGAAGAACGTGTAAGCCATGCACCTGAAACTTCTGAAATGAGAGCAACTGAAGTACAGAAACAGCTCTGTGAAGCTGTAAAGGAACTCAGTCAGAAATATTTCATAACAAGAAATGCTAAATGAAATAAAAGAAATGTGAACACATCTTAAAAAGACATAGTTTAAAAGATACAGGAAACCTGCAAAAAGGATGGAAAACTTGAATGATCAATAAAAGTAACAGAATGTATGAAAGAGACTCAAAGAGATAGCCAGAAAATCAAAAATTCCATCAAAAACTGGCAAAACCATCTCAATAAATGTGAAGATGGACTTTCAGATCTTGAAGATTGCAGCTAGTAAATAGGAAAGGAAATATCTTTTTTTAAAATAATAAGGAATCAGGAAACAATTTAACAGTTGCAGGGTGATGCAAAGAAAAGCAATATAAGATTGATAGGTGTCAATGAAAAAGAAAATAACAACATAAATGATTTTAAAAGACTATTTACAAAGTCATAGTTGAAAATTTTCTAAATATGGAAAAAGAAACGGACATACAGATAAGTGAAGCATATAGAATTCCAATTAGCCATAACCAAAATAAATCTATACTTAGACATTTGATAATTAACATCCCAAAAATTCAACTCAAGAATAGAATGTTAAAGTCTGTTAGAGAAAATCATCTATAAAGGAAAGCCCATAAGAATCACAGCAGACTTCTCAACACAAACAGTAAAATCAAGAAGACTATGGAGTGACGTATTTTAAACCCTAAATTAAAATGACTTCCAACCCAGATTAATGTACTCTGCAAATTATCCTCTAAACTGATAGAGAAATAAGATATTTCCATGAAAAAGAACAGCTGGAGAACTTCATGACCACCAAATCAACCTGGTAAAGAATTCTGGAAGATGTTCTAGATAGACATAAAAATAACTATGACTTCAAAACCACCAACAGAAAAGAAAAACCCCAAGCAGGGAAAACACTGAAACAGAGGCAAAAGGTAAAAAATCAACAATCAAAAGATAACGGCAAAAATAAGCCAATATATATCTGTTATAACCATTAATGTAAATGGCCTCGATTCATTAATTAAAAGAAACAGATTGGCAGAATGGATCAAGAAACAACATCCAACCATGTGCTGTATAGAAGAAACCCATCAAAAAAAATAAATTCATAGACTTTTTTTTTACATCATGTGCTATGTCTATCCTTGGTTTTGACTGACAACTTTGTTTTGCCATATTTGACTTTATTCCCCCCCCCAAAAGTAATAAGAACTAAGGAGTAATAAAATCCATAATGTGTAAATTAAAAAAAAAAAAGTTAATGGACGGAAAACAATACTTCACATAAGAGGAAATACCCACACACACACCAAAACAAACAAACAAAACAAAACAGGTGTTGTGACTGTTCTGTTTACAGACTATGTGAACTTTAAACCAAGAATAATCAAGAGATAAATAAGGTCACTACATACTGTTTAGGGGAAAGCTTCAAGAGAAAGAGATAACAATCTTAATATATATATATATATATATATATATATATATATATATATACCAAAATATGGTTTTACTCTGTTTTCTATTATTTGATTTCAGTGGTGTAATGTTATGGACAGCTATATTGAGGAAAATGTGAGACTTTTTGGTCACCATTGTTAAGTTTCATATTGTCTGCTTTTGAAGGCCTGTAATGTTTTCATTCTTTTCTTTTGATCACTGTTTTATTATTTCATTTTGTTTGAATTCACTGTGTGTGAAGATTTGGAAAATTTCAAAGAAAACAAGAGACATTATGCTAATCACTGTGTATTTCTTGTTTTGAAGTCTTGTATTCCTTGCACTGTTTTGTTCTGATCTGGTTTGTTCTATTTTTTTTTTATTTTTATTCTATTTAAAATAAAACATAAAACAATTATAAATGTCCCACTTTCAAGGATTCAAAAATATTTGAAAGATGATTTTTGTCAATCAGACTTTACACCCAGGAGAGCTTAGTCAGGAGAACAAAGAGAAGATGGGCATGAATTTGGTAGTGTCATGTCACACTGAATCTGGTTTTATAGAGGAACTTATAACTGTAGTGCTTGATATTTTGTTCAGAAATTCAAAGGAGCAAAAATTATGTGTTCCTTAGTCAGTTAATGCAATGGATCCAGCAAAATAGGAGTGATCTCTTCCTTCATAGGCATTGTTAATCCAATCATTGATCACATACCTTCTGAGTAGTTATTTATAAGGTAAAATAGATACATTGATTACACATTAAAAAAAGAGTTTAATTATAAAGATTTTCAGATTTTCCCCCAATTCTAGATATGGAGCCCACAGTCCAATGAACAAAAACAAAAACTCTACCACTGAGCTACAATCCAGGCCACACTTTCTCTCTTTTATTAATTGTAAGAATGGAACTGTTTGGCACATACTGGAGCTTTAACAAATCTTGCAAATCCATACAAATCTCAGAAAGCTAAATATGAATTTCTGGTTTTGAGAGGGAAAAAAGGCAACACGTTTAAATTTATATGAAAAAACATATTTCATAATGTAATTCCAGAAGGTACCATAAAGATTACATGGTCCTGGGGGCTGGAGATTTAGCTCAGCGGCATAAGCGCCTGCCTTGCAAGCAGGCAGTCATGAGTTCGATCCCTGGTACCGATAAAAACGAAAAAGACAAAAAAAAAAAAAAAAAAAAAAAAAGATTACATGGTCCTGGAACTTTTTCACTTTTTTAAAGGAACTTCACCCATTTAGGTATTAAATAGAAAAAAAGCAAGGATCTAATGAAGTATATATAACATAGAAGCATTAGCAAAATACTCTGGAGTTTTGCACTCCAGGAATGCTTGGAAAACTAATTACAGAGTTCATCAATCAGATTAAAAAAAATTGGTCAAGCACCCTAATTATCATACTATTCCATGGAAAACAGATTACAAAAGAACTCAGTTACATGATACAAGTCACCACAATTTTTATTACTTTAGGCCTGAAGCAAATTCTTTTTGCCTAGGAAGCCTCAAAGAAAGAAATTAGTATGAAGCTCAAGATTAGAGAGAGGCAACTCTACTCTCATTTGAGGATGGGTTATTCCCTTTCCAGGCCAGTGAAAAGGCAAAACACTTTACATTTAAGACACTGTTTAATTGATTAACACACAAAAAAGGTGACTTCATGGCTATTTCAATAAGTTATTTCAATGTGTTTTCCTTCTATTTACTGCTTTTCCCAAGACCTCTTGTTTATCTCACACATTCTTTGGAGGCGATAAATCTACAAAAGAATGGAAAATCATGGGAAAGGAAAATCTGCCTTCCGGTGGGAGGAGATTCTTCACAGAAGAAAGTGAAAATAACAATAGTGAAGACTGTGCTATTTTGAAGGTGAATTAGCAGAACGTGGATAGTATAAAATGTACAATTACACCTGGTATTATCATTATCATTATACAGTGGTGCACATACTCAGCAGAGGATGAAAATTCCTCGTCTGTGTCAGATGCGAGGACTCTGCAGTGAAATTCCTCATCCCACTGTAGGAAGAATCCCAGGCCCAGGTGTTTATCCATCTGCTTCTCAGGTGTTGGGCAGTAGTTTTCTCAGAGTCGTCTTTACCTCCTTGTTCCTCAAGGTGTAGATAAGAGGGTTCAGCATCGGTCCTACCAGATTCATCAGGATTTGAACTGCAGTCCCCGGCATGGGGTTGGGTGTGGGCTGCAGGGACACAGTGATGATGGGCCCATAGGCACAGAGGATGGCGATGAGGTGGGCACTGCAGGTGGAGAAGGCACGGCGCCGGCCTTTCCTTGTGGGAATACTCAAAACAGAGACCGTGAGTCGAGTGTAGGATGATAGGATTAGGAGAAAGCAGACAAGGGACACTATGCCAACGTTTACAAAACTCACCCAGTGTGCCACGGATGTGTCTGCACAGGCCAAGGGCAGGAGGGCAGCGATATCACAGAAGAAGTGATTCACCTCATTGGAACCACAGTATGGCAAGGTAAAGGTGAGAGAGGTCAAGACGCTGGAGTGGATGCAACCCAAAAGCCATGTTCCCACAGAGAGGGTTACACAGACTCTGTTTGTATGACTGACCCACGGAAATAAGAGAAACAATAAGAGTTAAGAGAACAGATCATTTGCATACGATTTGCATAGTGTAGGAATATATTATTCTACTATCAACTGAAAAATTAGATTAGTGCTTTTACACTGACTTTCAAATACATTGACCACATTTGCTCCATAATTATCCTATAAACTGAATTTTGTCTCCGCAAAATTCGTAGTTTGAAATCCAATAGTTCTCATCCACCGTTTGCGTGTATTAAATGTAGTTGCTTTAAAGAGATGATTAAGGCTAAATGACATTATAAACTTAGATCTTCTATGCCCCGCTACGAGCAAAATAGACAGCAGATAGCACATCTGTGTGTGTGTGTCTCCATCTGTCTCTTTCTTTGTTTCTCTCTGTTTGTTCCTATGCCTCTCTCTTCCTGTTCTGTGTCCTTTCTTTCTCTTCTCTCTGTCTAACTCAGTCGCTCCCTCCTCCCCGCTGCTCTTTTCTCTTTCTCCCACTCTCTCTTTCTCCCTATTACTTCTCTCTCTCTCTCAATGTCTACATTTCCCTTTTTGTTCTAATTTTATTTAAAAGACAAATATAAATAAATAAAATACAGAAAAGGAAATAAAATAGCAAATGCGACGAAAAACAACAGCAAAAGACCTTCAAAACCATAACAATACAAGATCTCAAAACAAAATGATAGGAATTTAACAAGGGTTGTTATGCTGCATATTGCTATCTTCAAAAGAGTTGCTTAAATAACCAGATACACATGTGCAAAGTCAATCTATTCATACGAGTACTAACTGTTTTCCAAGAACTAATACATGTGCGTGTTTGTGTGCAAATTTGTATCTTTTTCCATTTCCCTTTCTTCTTTTCTCCTTTCTCCTATCCCGGTCACTTTTCCCCTTTAGGCAGTTCCTTATCCTTTCTACTGTCAGTTTTGGAATTTATTTACTCTTTCAGTGTCTCCAAATAAGGAGACAATATAATATTTACACATGTGAACTTGATTTATTTCATTTATGAGTATGGTCTCAAGTCACGTCCATTTATCTATAAAAGTCTCAATGTAATCCTTCTTTATAGCAGAGTAGTACTCCATTGTATAAAAATACCACAACTTTATTATTCATTCCTCAGTTGATGGACATTTAGATTATTTCCACGATTTGTATATTACTGTTTGTGCTGCTAAAAACATGGGTGCACATACATCGCCATGGTATGATGCTTCAGTTCTTCTGGGAAAATGTCCAGAAGTAGGAGAGGTGGGGCAAATGGGACCTCTACTCCTAGCTCTTCGAGGAACCTGTACACTGATTTTCACGGTGGATGCACCAATCTATACTCCCTTTTTTCCCACAGCCTCTGCCATATTTGTTATTTCTTGACCTTGGCCATTCTTTCTGGAGTAAGATGGAATCTCAACTTTGTTTTAATTTACATTTTTTAATGATCAGTGATGCTGAAGATTTTTTCATGCATTTATTTTTCATTTATTTTCACCTGAGAAGTGTGATTTAATTTCAGATGCCTGTTTTTTGGATTAGACCTCTGAATTTGTGGAGCCTGAGATTTTTATATTCTTTATATGCTCTAGATAGAAGTCCTTTGTCTGAGGGACAGTTGAATAAGCTTATTTTTTGTAGATATTATTCTCACTCTAATGGAGAATTCTTTTAACATGCAAAATCTTTTTAATAAGACAAGATCTCAGTTGCTGATTCTGGGAAGTATTTCCTATGCCATTTGATTTCTGTTAATAAACTCTCTGCCTACCCTTATGACTTCAAGATTCCTACCTACTTTGTCTTCCAGCAGACTTAGTGTTTCGGTTTTATTATTTAGATCTTTGATGTATGTTGACTTTCATTTAGTGCATGGTGATAGACATGGGTCTAGGTTTAGTTTTTAGAATATGTAAAGCCAGTTTTTCCAGCACCACTTGTTAAACAGGCTATCTTTCTTCCTGTGAACCTGTTGGGCCTCTTTGTCAAAGACGAGATGGATGTGTGTGTTTGTAGTTGTGGCTGTATCTTCTTATATAATCCATTGATCTTCAGGTCTGTTTGTATGCCAGTACCATGCGGATTTTATCAGAGTGGTTTTGTAATATAACTTTAAGTCAGGAATTGAGATGCCTCTGGTCTTTCCTTTGTTACCCATAATTGCCTTTCTATTCTAGGTTCCTTCTGGTTCCAGGTAAATATTAGGCATGGTTTCTCTAGCTCTGTGAAACATGCAAATTGCATTTGCATTGGAATTGCATTAAACCTGTATAACAGTTTTAGAAGAATGGCCATTTTCAAAATATTTGTTTTTCCTATCCATGATCAAGTAAGTCTTCCTATTTTTCTGAAATCACTTTAAGTTTCTTTTTTTCAGAGTACTATGATTTTCACAGAAGTGATCATTTACTTCCTTTGTTAGATTCATTCCTAAGTATTTCATTTTTTAGATTCTTTTGTGAAGTGTGTTATTTTCTTTATTCCTCTCTCTGAGTTTGTTGTTTGTGTACAGGAATGCTATTTATTTTGAGTGTTGACTTTGTATCCTGCTACACAGCTAAATTTGAGTCCAGTAGGCTTTTGATGGAATTATCAAGTCAGCCACTAATAATGATAATTTAGCTTCTTCCTTTTCTATGTTTATTTCTTTTATGTCTCTCTGGTCTAATTGCTCTGGCTAATGTTTCCAGACGTACATACTACAGGAGTGATGATAGTGGGCATCCTAGTCTTGTTCCTGATGTTAGGTTGAATGTTTCAGTTTTTATTCACTTAGTAAAATGTTGGCTGTTGGTTTATCATGTACGAATTATATCAGATTGAGATCAAGACAATCTATTTGATTTTCCATAGGAGTTTTATCATGAGTGTTGGACTTTGTCAAGAGCTTTTCTGCATCTGTGACTCTCATCTTTGGCTTTAGTGAGAGTTGTAGTATGCTTATTGATTTGTGTATGTTGAACCATTTCCGAATTCCTGGAATGAATCACATTTGGTCACAATGTATAATCTTGATTTGCTGCTTTCTTCGAATATTTTGTTGAGGATTTTTGTGTTTATGTTTATTAAGGAGATCAGCGTGTATTTCTCTTTTCTGTTTGGGTCTGTCTGTGGTTTTGTTATTAAGATAATATTTGCTTCCAGGAATGCGTTAGGGAGATTTTCTTCCTTTTTAATTTCACTGAAGAGTTTCAGGAGTGTTGGCATTAAGTCTTTCTTAAATTACTCAAAGAATTCAGCAGTGAATTCATCAGGACCTTGGATTTTCTTTGTTGACAAGTTTTTAATTTCATTTGCAATTTAATTAGCTGAAATTTGGGTTATGCAGGAGTTTTACATCTTTGGTAATTCATATGTTTCTAGGAACCATACCATTTCTTCTGTTATCAAAGATATAAAAGTAAAGGTTTTCTCTTTTTTCTCTTCTATCACACACACACTTTTTGTCTGCTCCTCTCCCTCTCCTTGTCGTCCTCCTCCTTCTCTCTCTCTCTCTCTCTCTCTCTCTCTCTCTCTCTCTCTCTCTCCCTTTGATCTTTTTCTCTCTTTCCCTGTCCCTTTCCATCAATCCTAATAACATGTGAGGACATAGGGACATAGGTGACCCTGGTTAACTATAACCCCTTTAAAACCCTGATAGAGCCATAATATAGGCTTTACATTCTCCAAAGCCCTATAAAAGTAACTTCTCATTCTTTGTGTCAATACTATATGGCTGATTTTTCAAAATTAATTTAGTTATTGATACATGTTAGATATATATAATGATCATATTTGTACATACATATCATATATTTTGATTATTTTTTTCATTCTCTACCCTCCCTTCAACCCACTTCCATTCCTTATTTACACAAGCTTTCTTTCCGTTTTTCCCTTTTGTTGTTATTTTATGTTTTTACTTTTCCCTGTCTTCCTTTCCTCTCCTCCCTCTGTAGTTCTCATTTCCACTTGAATATTTTCTTCCTGTCTTAAAATATCTGTTATACATTTTGGTCCTTAATTTAATTTTCTGTTTATCATATGATAAAAGCCATACAATATCTGCACATTAGTTTTTTATTTATTTCACTTTACAATATGGTCTTGAGGTGCACCCTTGAGATGTCTAAAGCATATCCTTTTATATGGCTGTGTAGTTCTGCATTGTACTAAAAACCACTTTTTCTTTCATTCTTTGATGGGCAGTAAACTGTGCTGTTGTAAACATGGGTGTGCCTGTGTTGCTGTGAATCAATCTTTTTAATTCTTTCAAGACGATACTAACAAGGGGAAGAGATGGATGAAATGGAACCACTGGTTGTACTTTCCTGAGGATTCTTCACTATGATTTGCAGTGGTCACATCAACATACACACCCACGAACAGTGGAAAGTGTTACTTTTATAGCACCACTGCACCAGCATTTGAAAGACAGCCACTTTAATAAATGGAGCTGGAGAAACTGGATTTCCACCTGTTGAAGATTAACACTGGACTCGTGCCTCTCACAGGAAGGAGGATAATGTGGAATATCAAATACACAGGAGTATATTTGCTGTGGTGGTGTTTAGACTGTGTACACAGAAATATACTGAATGTCACAACAGCAGCCAACACTTCTCGGTGAGGGAGCTGTAGTGGAACATGGATGCGCTGGACATATGTGTAAAGCAGTAGAGGTCACTAGCATGACTCAAAGGGCAGGGGAAGGAATTGCAAAACAGAGTTCTGTGCTGGAGGGGAAACACAAGGGCTGGTTAAACTGTTGCTTATCTTAGGTCTCAGTGCCTTTGGCCATGGCTCGTATGCATGAACTCCAGTCGTCTAGTGGCAGTTCATGTCATAGAGGGAAGAATCGCTGCTCTGTGTCTGCCACCTGCTCCCTGCCAGTCTCCACAGTCTGCACCTCAAGTTTCTCAGGGAGTCTGTGACAAAGACACCCCTGAAGCTTTGTATATGGTTGAAGGCTGCTAAGTCAATGATTCAGGGTGCCCACAGGGATTCTGGAACCTGATTCACCCCTACTCAGAGAAGGTTAGGTGGTGACAATAGACGTTTCACAAGACTTGTCTGGTTCAAAGCATTCGGAGTTTGTAGAAAGAAGCAGTGAATTATTTCTTTAAGCCTAACTCTTGCAATGACTCTGAGTCATCTATGTATGTAAACTATTTATCTGATATTTACAGCCTTCTGCATCAATATGATTTTTTCTCTTTGAACATTTTTATTAAAAAATGAAAAGAAAGAAGGAGATTAAGATAAAAGAGGACATAACAACATAATTACACAGGTCAGAACAGAACAATTTAAGCCACATAATGTTTCACTACAAGATAACCTGACATAACACTAGCTATCATAGTGTCTCTTTCCTTGAAATAGTTGAGTATAACTTTTTCCCTTTGAATTTTATTACCTCAGAGAGACAAGGCCCTTTACTCCAACCACAATGACAAATTCTGGGTACTGGGATATGTTACTTCTTCAGCTGTGTTCTTCTTCCTGGTTTCTGATACTCACCAGGCTTTGTTTTGTGTTCTGCCAATTTGTTAGTGCTTATACACAAATAATCACTTCCAACAGCAGTTAAACTTCTGTTGTTTGGTTTCCCCTTCCAGAAGGAACAAAATAGTGCTCAGTGTCTTTATCGCAACATTTTAAGCCTTCCTCCCTTTCTATTGTTTATATTTTAAAGAGCAAATTTTAAAAACGCAGCACTTCCTACAGCACATAAACAGTTTTCTCCTTAAAAATGAATATGTATCACAACTAGAAATATGACAAAATGTCAGTACAGTGGCAAAAGAGAAGAGTAAATAGATCTGAGGACTGAGACCAATTATTTGAGAAGTTTGGTAGCATAAAAAACGTGGTGATAATAATTTTGTTGTTAACACCTGACTCTGAAAAACCTGGCAGCTTCCTGATTGCACACCCTAAGTATAAATGTCAACCACATCTCACTGACCATGCGACTGTCTGGTTAACAAAGCAGAATTTCTCATTATCTGATTCTTCTTGTGGATTATTTTCAGTTGAGAGCAATTTGAAGAGAGATGCTCTACCATCCAGTGGCCAGCCCCTCGATCTCTACTGCTTAATACAAACACATACGAAGATTCAAGTGCACAGGAATAGGAGTGTAACAGTTTGAAATTTAAGTCAAGTGATTAATTTCGCAAATTAAAAGGCAAAAATGTTTGATTCTACATAATTACTTATAGCAAAGTA